GCTGAAATTAGTGTGGAAGTGAGATCTTGTTTTCCAAAGAAAGTGATGAGACAAGTTGATATGGACTATCTTAAAGTCTGCATTATTGTGTACAATTCATCGTATAAATGTTTTCGTGACCAGTAGACATTTGGAATAGATATTTATGAACCCGTCTTAAAAGGCGGCCTATTCTTTTCCTCTCCATTTGTGTGTACGTAATTTTTCTGATTTTATGGAACGAATTAACATTCCCCCCAAAAAAAAACAGAGAGAAATTTTATTATTATTATTATTATTATTATTAGAACCAATAATTTATTGAAAGAGAAATTCTGAACATGAAAGGTCTAGATCGCATATGAAAGGGAACTTGCCTCACTTACTTATATGATGCCATTTTCAATATCCAACAAGAACAATCAATGGGGTTTGGTTCTAACAGAAAGGGCTAGTCTCTTATGTTACATCCCAAAAATTTTCACCTGGCTATAAGAGATTAAAAATTGGGATGAGGGTCAATGTAGGAACTAGACGGGGAGATGAAATAACTTTTGATGTGAAACCCTAAGGAGGTCCGAGCTGACATTTTTGTAAGTGTTAGTCTAGGAAGGGCAAAACGAGAGAATTTGAGAAAAATTCCAGAAAAATCCCCGAAAAATGGGAAAGTGGAGAGTAGAGGTTTTGGAAATTCAGTTGAGGCCCAAAGGGTGAAATTTCGGTGAAAATGAATTATTACGGAATTTCCCATAAATAGAGGTTTTTCGGGAAATTACTGGGAAAATGAAGAAAACTAATTATTTTAATGAGTTAAAGGCCTCAATAAATTTGGGATAATGATGGAAAATTCATATAAATGTTTATTTGAATTTATAAAATTGTCTTTAGGCCTTGGAAGCTCAAGGATTAATTTTAGGGAATTTATTTTCCCGTAGTGACACTGATAAAGGCCTAACCGGAGAAAATTCAAAATAAATATCTAGAGGTGATGAAGAATTCTGAAAATTTCCATATCATATTATCATATTAAAAGGTGAATTATCATGGAGAGAAATGAATTTTTGGATGTCTAGAAAAATTATGAAATGTTACTAGTGAATAGTAATCGATAAAGTTTCTAATTGGTTTGAGATAGTGATTTGGTTTGTGGGCCATCTTTTTGGACCAACCCAAAACATTTTTGGGGCCCACAATGGACCCATTAAAGATCCAATTTCATGCACTTTCCAGATTCCACCATTTTATTAAATAAATTGTGAAATTAAGGGATATTTTTGTGGAAAAATCTAGAGAAATGCCACTTGTTCAAATCTGAATATTTTTCACACTTGACGGCTGCCACATAACCCCATTGAGATGTCCAAATTCGTGCAAATCAGGAGGGAGAGGGCAGATGGAATTTTTCTATAAATACCCCTTGAAAATACATGAAAAATGTTAGAAAATTGGGGAAAATAAGGGGAAACTCTGCCACTGTTCATCCAGCCACACTTGCACGAAATTTTGAGGTGTTTTAGGCAAGAAATCATCCAATCTACTTCAAAGAAACACTAAGGTATGTCCAAGCATCAATATCCCTAAGTTTTACATTGATTAAACAAGGATTTTTGCTTGGGAAAATGCTGGAAAAATCTGAAAATTTCGGTTGAGACATGTGATACTTGGGGAAGGATAGAAACCTTAATAATCAAGTGGGATAAGCAAGATTAAGTGGTGTATAGATTGATTTTTGGAAGAAAGCCAAGTTAGGGTTTTGGTTCTTCAAGCCAAGGGGTTTTGGTTCTTCATCTTCGTTTTGCACTGTTCATGCAGAAGCAATTTGAGTTTGCTTGATTTGATGATTCCAATGGCTTTAAAACATGTTTTTGTGTAGGGATTTAATGTTGGAAGATGTTTAAAATCATTGGAATCAAAAACAGAATTTTTGGAAGCATATAGCCCCCTATTCGGCCAAGTGAGGATCATGGGAAAGGAGTTTAAATTTTAAAAATCTGATTGCACCATTGGATTCCTCATGAAAAATTGTAGGATTGGGCCATGAGAAGTTTGATCCTAAAGAAGGAATCATTTTGTTGAAAATCAAAGAAAAAGGGGGGAATTGTTAAGTTAATGTTAAAGTGTTAGAATTAAGTTGTTTTGTAATTAATATGGCCTATGTTTATGCTTGGTTTAATAGGCATTAAGAGGAGGAATTAAGGAGAAGCATTGCTCCTTGGAGGAATTAAGTGGACAAGCTTTGCAAAGGTAGCTTTAAATTATAATTTGATTGTTTATCTTGCTTGTTTGTTGTGATTTGTTGTTGCTTAGATTTGGAGAAACTTTGTGGTGATCTTGATTGTTTGATTGACATTGGTTATGCTTTGGCCAAATGCTTTGTGGTATGTCAATGTGGATGATATGATGTTCCTCTCCTTGCCTGCTATTTGGCATGAATTCCTATGAGTTGGGAATGGTTTGGATTGCATGAGCATGTCACAATTGAACTTGCATTGATTTACATGATAATTATAATTCATATGCTACTGGGATTTCTTTGAAATCTCATTCCTCCTATGTCATTCTATGCACTAATTAGGAAATGGACCAAGCATGGATCAAGGCAAGGAATTGGTATTGGGATAATGGAGCAATATGTAATTAATGTTGTTATGTTATGTTGTGTAAGGTATCATTGAACTTTATGTAATGATGGTATCTAGTTATGGATGATGTTATGATGTGTATTATACTTTATTCTCATGCCCTAATGTTAAATTTATGCATGGTACATTATGGAATGGATGTGGAAAAAGAAAAAGGGGTAATTAGGGGATAGAAATTCCCTAAAAAGTATCAAATTTGTGGCACATAAAATAATGAGCAATTGTGAGAATTTAGGCGTGAAATTTGGCAGTATAATAGATCTCATTTTTATCGTAAAATCAAGTGGTAATACATCAAATTTGGAGTTGTGTGCTAAGAGTTATGCCCTCCCAAAGTTGGGCAAAAATACTGAAAATTCGAAAATTCACCAAATGAACAGTATATTTTGACGAATTTCCTGGAATTATTCTGGATGGAATTGGACCTAATGATTATTTTTCCTCCATATAAATCTTAGCCAGCTTCATGTGAAAATTATAACCACTTCGTTTCGATTTTTCTAGATTTAATTATGAATTTTCAAAGTTGACCCATTTTCGGATGAATAGTGTACGGACAGGATAAATAGTAAAACTCTGAACTTTAAATTTTTCATCCGGAAACGCTGCGAAACACGTTATATTGGTTCCAATTAACATATAATGGGTTATAAAGAGAGGTGTGACATCTTACAATGTGACAAACCAATATTCGAATCCCTATTGGAAAAGGTGTCCATATTTAATACCCGACAATATCTCGAATAGAATTGCCTCCAATATAAGGATAGCTATGCCTTAGCAATATATAAATATATATATATATATATATATCCAACAAGAACAGGGGAAATACTTTGGTTCAGAAGTGGTAAGTTGATGAAGACCTGTGGATATGTGATGTCGGAGATTCAGCGGAGGACACCACACATTGATTTCACCATGCTCTGTCTTAAAGCAATGAATACAGATCTTTCTTTTTTGTTTGAATAATAATGATAATTCAATAACTTTATATTCAAAATTACTGTGTCAAAACAAACCAGTACAGGAAGGATGTTATAAACTAGCTTCAGTTCCATCCACTCCAACATTAAAATTTCAATATTTCTTACAAACATTGTTTCGAGATGGAGAGTATTCTCGTCATAACAAATACATCAAATGCACATTGGTTTATTTTTAATCACCGAAAAGAAACAACGACGCATGAAAAATAAATGCGGTTCTCTATTGAAGGACGGTTTTAAGTTGTAATGACTCCTAACAGTTTTCATTTCTTTTCTGCCCGCGTCATGCTTCGTGATATAACCCGAAAATTTAAAAAACCGACAACCCGACCCATTGTCAACCGGGTATTACAGGATTTCAAGAATAGGATAGATAGAGAGATGGATGGATAGGCAGATTTCTCAAGCTTTATGAATATATTTCCCCTTTCTCTACGGTTTTCAAAACAAATGGCTTTTGTTTTTATTAGAAACACATTTTTCTAAGAACTTATATGTCTATCTTCACTTGAGCCAAAAGATTACACAATAATGTCAAAAATAATGTTGATTACTCTTACTGAAACGTTTCTTAATTTGTATTTCAATTTTCTGTTCAAAATTACAAATTCAATTCAGTTTATTTTTTCAAATGAATCTGAACGGTTATTCAAACATAAATTTTAACAAACACCCTGAAGATCTCAACGATCCATCACTAGTCAAACATAAACCAATCCTTCAGGAGATTTTGAATTCTTTAATCTTTAAATAGTATATCAGTGTCATAATCTTACATAGAGGAATAAAAGGTCAAACATAGGACGAGAGGCAGCACAACCATTTTGCGTAAATTTTGAAGCAACTTTCGAATTAGTTTCCAACGTCACAATATTGATGAAATTTGTTTAGATAAATAGATACAAGTCATTGTTGGCACAAGAAAAATAAAAGAACTGGAACCGTAAAGATAGGGACACTATTTACCCTGGAAAGTTTATCATTATGTGGTTATTCGAAGTTAAAAATGTGTCTAAACACTGGAAATTTAAAATGAATTTCTTAGATTGATCTCGCTATGCTCTGTTTTAAGGCATGTAAAACAGAGCTTTCTTTTGTACTTCATAATAACACCAACAGCAATAATTATATATATATATATAGAGAGAGAGAGAGAGAGAGAGAATCAGAGATTGAACATTGAATAGTCTTTATGCCAAAAGAAATCATTAAAGAAGGATATCAACGACGGCATTCAGTTCCATCCACTCCAACATAAAACTTGTCAATATTTTTGTACACACATTTTCCAAGACGGAAAGAAGTCTCGTTACAACAAATATATGAAGTGCACATCTTATAGTCACCCGGGAAAAGGAAAAAAACATGAAGCATGAAAATGAAATCCAAGCTAAAATCCAAAATGTTTATTCTTAGCAGCAATCATTTCCCAGCATTGGTTTTGCCTTGCTAGAATCTCTTGGCGGGCCTTCAAAAGCTGAGTATGATTTGCCATCACATTTGCATGCTCTTGCAATGCAGCATCCAAGTCTTTTTGAACCAATCGTGCTGCCTTAACCCCTTGATTGCGAGTAGCCGCAAGCAATGCCTCGTTGGTGTTGAGATCACTGTCCAAACCTTTTAGAGTTTCTTGAATTTCATTAACTTTAGACACATCACAATTAAAAACCTTAGTCCTAATAGATTCAAGCCAGTCCTTGTCAAAACCAAGAAGGCAAGCATCCTTTAATTTCTCTTCCAACGACCTCTTGTCTGCCTCAGTGATTGTGAAGGGTGTTCTGGTGGTTAGAATGTTGAGTATATCAATCAATACCCTATAGGATATGCGCAGCATTTGGGTGCTTCGGTCATTTGTAGACATACACAGTTGTGGGTGAGTCTTGAGTGCCTGTGCCAATAAAGAAATCTCAGAGCCCTCTAATTTCACCATCTCATTTATCTCTTGCACTCCGCTAACATTCAAAGCTTGATCAGTCTCAAGAACGGAAGGTGCCGACTCCGAAGGAGTAGAAAATGGAAGCAACGAAGATTGTGCGTGCTCAGTATTAATATTTGATGACTTTGTCACAGCAGGATGCTTAATTTGGCCTAATAAACCATCACATTATTAGTAGAATATTTAAGTGGCCCAAAGCAACACGATCAACATTAAAGGGAATAGATAGATAACCTCTAGAACATGACAGCTCTTGTTCCATCTGCGTAAGATTGCTTGGGTCATCAGTCACATGCTCATTTGAGTTTAGTTGGACACCATGGAACGCCATATTTGCCTTGGATTCATCTTGAATCACATCTGTTCCATTGATGTCTTTGTCACTATTAATGCCCTCGTATAGAGTAGTTGGTTGTGGAATGGGTGCAGCATCACCAATGACAGTGGCATGAGACTTATCAGAAACTTGAATATCATCTGCTACATCATAAGTGTGTTAGTTAGTGGTTTCAAAACCGTTTTGTCTATTTCTTCTTAAACTAATGAAGCACTGATAGAATGAAAACTATCTAAAAAGCAATTGAGAAAGACGACACCCAAAGAAGGGTACAAAGGAAAATCACTACCGGTAGGCTTGCAGAGTAGAGCTTTTGAAGAATTAGGACTCGGTGGCAAGATTGCCTTAGAAGTTAGCTCACTTGAAATAGTTGTCGTGGATGGTACAAATGGGTCTCCTATGTAAACATGTGTACGGAAAATACAGTTATCAAATGATGTAAGGATAAGAGATTTTTCTGGTAAAAAAAAAAAAAGGATAAGAGATTTCATTTATAGAAAGCAATTGAGTATCGTACCATGAATGGAAGTCTTGGGCTTTTCTTTTAGGAAAGAGTTCTTTGCTTTTATGTCACTTTGACGATGTCGGGTAGTTATCAAGCCACCTGCGAAACCCAAAATAAGTAACCAATATATTACTAATAAGACAAGACATTAATATACATGTTACCTTTTCTTTCCTCTTCCTCTTCCTCATCCTCGTGACATTGTATACCATGTCTTGTCATTTCTTCTTTTGACTGTGGCTCCATCATGATTGATTCTGTTTTCACTTCTTTGTTGACTGACTCATCCTATGTGAAGATAAATATGAAAGGGACATAAGTTCAAATATCTAGCATAAATTTGTTTATTGATACAATAAATAACAATAAGTCACATTTGAGTATTAATTCTATAATGAACTAAATGCTACGCTCGTAGTTCATATTACTTTTATTAATTGTAATTACATCAATTAGATGTTGTTTCAGTTTTCTTTTGGATTTTGGCTCTGGGTTGTACTTCAATGCCACTTTTTTTTTAAAAAAAAAAAAATAACCTGCATCAAACAAAATGACTAGTACTTATTTTTTAGGCTGCATTTGATATACCATCCAACGTACCTTTGTAAAGTTGTGTGAGCCCAATGTAGATTGTTGTGGATCAATCATGGTTCTTTCGTTTCTCGCCACTTTGCCCACCAACTCGTCCTATGTGAAAGATAAATATATAAAAGGCAAAAGTTCGAACAAGCTAGCATGAATAAAGAATAATAATCTACAGGTAAAAGATGATGATGATGATGATATGACTTTTGAAGATGCATTTTATGGACCACTTTTGTTTATAATGCTTAGATATTCCCTTCGTAAAGAGATAAAGAGATAAAGAGATAAAACATGCTGATTGTCCTATTACATTTGAATCAGATGATAAATTTGTCATCTTTGGCTTCTCCAAAATAATACCCTCTTCAACAATTTCCTTTGCATCTTTGTTAGTACCCTATCCAACGCCACATGATAAAAAAGTTTAGCTATGAATGAAAATGGGCACGTGTCTCTGTATATGATTGCAGTTTTATTCGGTTTTCAAATGACATCAAATTCAAATTTTTATGCCAATATTTAGAGTAAAAAATCATGGTTTGCTTCAAGATAACTTTGAAACAGAGAATGAGAAAGAAAATGAAGATGCCGTACTAGTTAATGGTGGCATATGTGTAAAGCTTGTAGACATAATAAAATGCCATTAACAAAAATAATATATGTACAGAAATGAAATGAGATATACTCTTGTGAAGTTTGAGGAACCAGTTGTGGGTTGTTGGGGTTCTAAGGCTTGTCTTCCATTTGTATGGGAAAAAAGATTCTGCTCTGTTTCTTCCCAAACTTTAGAATCTTGATTTATACAGTCATCAGAAAATTGAGTTGTTGTAGTTTCTGCAAGTACATAATAATTTTCAATTTGAATTAATGATGGACTTCTTTGAATGCATACCATAAAAAGAAAATTCGGAACAATCATATACTATGGAAGATTTTTCCAATTTCTTATATTAAAACCCGAATAATGTACTTTTCATATGTTTGCGTGAATATATTTAAATAATATTTCTAGTCCTTTTGTGCGTTAGGCTACCTGTGTCAACTCTTATATTACCACTTCCGCTTGAGACAGTGGCATGGCCAAGGGATTTATTAGAAGCTTGAACATCATCTGCAACATTAGAAGTTTGTTGGTTAGTGGTTTCCACGTCGTTTTGAATATTTCTTCCTAAATTAATCAAGAAATATAATGTTAAAATGAAAACAATACAAAATCTAATTGCAAAAGCAAATGAAGATTTATAATAGGTAGAATCACTTATGAGGCATAGACTATAGTCTTCTGCAAGGTTAATGACACTCATTGTAGCAGGATTTGCTTCTTCTATGTATGAATAAAACTCGAATGAAATGTCACTATAGGATGACAACAAAGAAACTCACCATTGGAAGGCTTGGGGAGAACGGTTGAAAGGCTTTGACTGAGGCTTGTTGAAACTTTTGTTGACATAGGACTCAATGGCAAGATTACCTCAGAAGTTTGCTCGCTTGAAACAATTGTTACAGTTGGCCCAGCTGGGTCATCTATGAAAAAATGATTATTATATCAAAACAAATGATGAAATACCTCATTGAAAAAAAGAATCAAGTACCATCAATAGAGGTTTTGGACTCCTCCTTTGATAAAGAACTGCTAGACTTCATGCCACTTATTCGAGCACGTCGAGATGTTATCAAGCTCTCTGTAAAACCCAAAATAAATAACCAGTATTTTGTACAAAACTAACACATCAATATTTTACCTTCCTCTTCCTCTTCCTCTTCAAAAATCTTGGCACTTGCATGAGTGTTGTCTCTTGTAGGAAGAACAGTGAAGTTGGGACTTGTATGAATTGGTGCCTTCTATAGAAACCAGGGGCCATATAAGACAATGATGATAAATTAGTGTAGTTGTTTTCTTTGTACTATATCCAACACCCCAATATATAAAAAGAAGCTTCATGGAGATTGGCTAACAAATAAGTCTTAAAAGAAATTTTGAATCCAATGATAAAAAGAAGCTTTACTTAGTTCATGTCAAATTCATTAAAAATTTGGAACACACACTATATTTATGTGTGTTAGAGTTTATTGCTGGCATTTTAAATATCCCCTTCAAATTATATGTTTTTCTTCTAGCAACTAAATTTTTTAGAAAAAACATAATTGGGTTCATATCACAACTTTAAAGCACGGAAAGAAAACTATTGTGTAATGGAGACAAAAATAAAGAACAAAAATCTATAAATAAAAGACAATTAGTCTCAGTTTTGGTGGTACGTCTCTTAAATCAGTTCTAATTCTGCATGAAAAAGAATTATTTTTTTAGCTAATATTTAGTAGTAATTATAACATTTGAATTTTGAATACCGGTTAAATATGACCCAAAATTTGAAAAATATAGTGAACTTTAAAGCAAAAGTTTAAATAAGAGAAAATATAGAGCAAAGTTATAATTATAAAAAAATGCCCAAAAATTAGAGAGAAGTCTCGAAAAGTAGAGAAAAGATTTTCAAAGCATATTTGAGGCTTTGGGATAATATTTAAAGATTAAAATATACATTTAGTTCTTAAATTTTATACAAGATTTCAATTTGATCTTTTAGCTTTAAAAAATATATTTTTGATTCTTTAATCTTAAAATTATTAGGCTTAGATTATGATTTTTTTTTGTAATCATGGTTGTTTTGAAAATTAATATATTAACATTTGATAATGTTTTAGCAACATTTAAAATCTTAATGTCATTTTTTTTGTTAACAATTTTGGGCTTAAATAACCAAAAAAATATGCCCTTTAAAGTTAAGGGACTATATTGAAACTGTATATAAAGTGAAAGGACTAAATGGGTCTTTTATCCTTGTTTAAAATTTAAATGTCTCAAGAATGGATTATATATATGAGGATTTAAGGAAATAAAAAGAAAAATAATTATTACAATTATTTAAGGCTGAGGAAAATTGTGAAAAATATTATGAAATATTATTTTGATAATTTTAAAATATTGTGAAGGGGATTATATTTTCCAAAAATGAATCGATAATTTAAAGCTAATTTATGGGAGATAAGGGCCTTTTTTTGTGAACACTGAAGTAAACATATATAGAGGCTAATGTTCAGCCTTAAAATTTTAAAAAAATTATTTTAGGAGCTGTGGAAGCCAATTAAAATATAAAGTGTCGCAGACTAAATTTTGGACGTTTTTGGGAAAGTTTAGCACTGATCAGTGATGGGTACAACAGCAATTTCACTTTCTCAAGCCTAGAAAGGAAATGCGCCTATGCATAGTCTAAAAAGTATTGTGCGTGGTGCACTAAGTCCAAAAAGAAGAGCATCAGATTTGCTGGGTTGGGACTCATGAAATGCCAAATAAGATGCTTATGCAGTAAGCTTGCAAGGATAAGTTAAAACACACACACACACACACACGTTGCCTCCATTTAAACCTCTCAGAAGCTCCCTCACATTTTGCCCTTGCACAAGCAAGAGCGCGCGCGCGCGCACACAGAGAGCTAAGGGAAGGGGAAGATATGATTAAAGAAGAAGGAAAGTTCTCCCCTCACATGCAACCGAACGTTTAGACCAAGGTAAGGACCTTAAACCTTATTCCATCAACATTTTTCTCAGTGGCTGTGTCTTGCGCAAATAGATAAGAGGTTTTCATCTGGTTTTTAAAAGAGAGGGAGAAGAGAGAAAGGGAGGGACGCATGCATTAAGAGAGAAAGGGAGGGACGCATGCATTAAGTTATAAAAATCATATTTAGATGATAGATGGGGGTTGATTTTATTCCTTGCATGTTGATTTGTGTGAGAAGAAGTGATTTTTGGATCTGGAGTTTCTGTTTCCGGGGAGTGTTTATTTAACTTCTCTTACGGGAGCTGAAATCTGGAATTCAGCTTATAATGTTTAATTATGTACTAAGTTTATAATTAAGTGGGAACTAAAATATAGTAAACACCTAGAGGCCTCAAGATGAAATGCGGATGAAGTGACTAAACTAAGTTTTATTCTCTTCCCTTGTTCGGTCAAAGTAACTGGAACACTTTAAAATGTAAAGGGAAGGCTGCCCAAAACTTTAAAAGTTGATGAACTACACATGTAAAGGGTCTAGTGGCTCTTGTATAGTGATTATGGGCAATTGGAACATCATATCATTATTAGTTTTGTGAACTTTAATTCTTATCCCCTGTTTGGACAGCAACCTTCAGATGTTTATTGAATTAAAAATTTTGTCACTCAGAGAGGTTTAAATGTTACTGTTTTGATATGTTATAACATTGGAACAAGTGTTCTAAATTCCCGTCCTGAACCTAAGGCATGTTTAAACGCCCCTAGCAAGAAGAGAATTAAATTTTATAAGTCTATCTATTAAGCCCTGTTTTTTGATAGCATAGTTTTAGTAAGAGGAAGTCAAGTTTTGGTTAAATTTCAATATGATAATGAGCTTAATAGAGACCTTGGCGTGGTAGCAAGTCTCTAGCATAAGTTTGGGACTAAGAGGTTTTTAATTGTTGGCCTTTCAGGGATTCTAAGAGGTCATAAGTAGTTCTTAAATGGCTAAACATCTTTAATTAGTGAACCTAAATAAGGTTTGATGGTAACTTTATTTATTTCCTTCGTTAAAAGAAATATTATTATTTACTAATTTTTTGTTTCAGATTTTCAACCCACTCCTTAATAAATGTCCCCTTATAAAATTAGAATCAAATGATGTAACAAAAAATCAATCAGATGATGATGATGATGATGATGTCTTTTTGGTATTTTTAAAATAGCGTGCTTATCACAGTGGAATCATATATTGTTTCTTCAATACCCTGTCCAAAACCACAAGTTTTTCCCCCCCTAGTTTACGTCAAATTCATTATGCAGCTGGAATACGCACACTTGCGTTTACCCGCCTCTGGGTATATTGTCAGCATTTTAAATATGATCTTCAAACTCTGTTTTCTCATAAAAAGGATAGAATTTTTTGACCATTGCGACAAAATTAAAATAACCAACCATACATATAATCATTGATGGGGACCATTGGAAAAGCAGTAAAATGATGCCATTAGCAATCAAAATCATACCTCCGTGACGGATTGTTGTGCTGTTTCTCCCATCTTTAAAGATTTTTGGGTATTGAGATGAGAAGGAAGCTTTTCCTCTGCTTTTTCTTCAACTTGAAAACATGCTGTTTCAAGGCCTACTTGAAGCTGGGTAGTTGAAATTTCTGAATGTAGGATTTTTAATGTCATAATAAAACTCATATAATAATTTTCAATTTTATAGAGAATAAATACTTCTCTGAATGCATACCATAAAAGGAAAACTTGGGACAATCATCCACTTTCGTGTTATCATCTCCTTTCAAAGTTTGAAAATCAATCCCATGACATAGACTAACAAGATTAGGAAGATCTATGAGCTTCAATTGACTTAGTTGTGAAAGCACATCCTCCATGACCCTCTCTTTCATCTCTCCTTGTCTTACTAGTACATGCTCAAGTTCATTGGCTCTACTTATCTCCAGAGATCTTAGTTTTGAAAGGATACCAGAAATAGTGATAGAGAACAGGTAGCTCAATTTGTCACAATCATTGACAGAGACTTGTTCTAAGTTAGGAAAGCATGGTTCACGGCACAAATGATGATCATCATCATCTGTTTCATAATCTTCTTCGACAATGTGAACTAATTCTTCACATTCTGATATACCCAACTTCTGCAACATTGGTAGGCTTCTCACCATGCATGCAGGGAAGATAACTTTGAGCTTTTTGCATCCACTAATGGATAGATTCCGAAGACTATGGAAATATATGACATGTTTAGGCCCCACACATATATTCACCACCTCACTTAGATTCTGCAACCTCAACTTTTGTAAACTTGATGTCAATGGTTCAGGTCCATCCCCATTTTGTTTTGTGTTAATGTGTGTCAAATCAACAATTTCTTTTATTTCGGAGTTCCGAACGTCTAGAGTTTTTGAAGTTTGGCTGCACATCTCCGTTGCCTACAAAATCCATAAAAGATAAATCAATTCCAAATTTATTTTTCTAACAAAAATAACTTTAAAATGGGCAGTCCAATTTGAACAAAATCAGGGTAGAGTTTATGGTGACTGAAACTACCAAATAAAAATTCAGAAGAAACAAATAGATTTGAATTTTAAATATAAATGGTATTTTTTCAAACGTGTGTCTGAAAACAACAACAAAAAACCCTTATAGTTTACAAAAATAGAGAATTAGTGAGGTAATATTATTATTTTCTGCTTCTTTACGAGATCATATGAATGAAGTAGGGAAAAATATTATTATAATATAACTTATCGATTGGGGGAATATATTAACACTAGCAAGAGAAGTCAGAGTCATACCTTTTTTTCCCGTTGTTTTGTATGCCAGCGGAATAAAAATTCTTTGAAAGGTCTTGTAAACTCTGAAAAGCCAGTCAAAATAATGGATGACAGTGGAGATAACCCTCTCAAATAGTAGTTTTCGGGGTAAATGCTAATAAGTTCTGGCACATTCATAATTAAAAGATCTTTTAAAGTCGGGATGTCCACGGGAATTTTGATACTCTCATTCTGATGAGTTGTACTGTTTTCATGTTGGCTTCTTCCAAATACATATTTCAACAAAGGAGCCCTTGTGATATTCAGAGACTCCAAATATGCAGGGCATCTGAAAGCATGTGCTGGGAATAAATATTCCAATGCGTTGCGGCCTGAAACTGATAACCGTTTCAACTTTGGAAAGATGGAATAATTGTAGTTCATGTGAGTTCCAGCATCTGCCTCATCTTCTACTATGCACTTCAGTTTATGACAGTTCAGTATTGTCAAATCTTCCAACAAAATTGTTGAGGCAAGGGATAGAGTTGACAATGATATTATGTTCCAACATTCGACCAGTCGTATTGTCGTAACATTCTTCAATGATTGCGCCAACAAGATTTGAGATGCATGGAAAGGAGGAACTCTACATGTAGATGAATTTATTTCCTACAAACACAAATCTTTAAAAAGTTATATCTATCACCAACAGAATAAATCACTCTTATTTTAAAATAAACAATATGCAAGATTGGAATATATAATAATACCCAATAAATCAAAGATATTTTTAACATAACAATAATTAGTAAAATAAATCATTCTTATTCCAAAACAAACAATCAGTGAAGATTTATTGAAAAAAACAATCAGTAAAATTTGAGTATGTAAATTTTTTATGTAGTCATATCATATACAGCGAATAATATCATAGCAAATAAAAACTCAATTCAACTCTTCGTGAGCCCCCTTACGCCCCTTTCCATTTGATAATTTGTTAATAAAAAATTATGTAAAATGTTTATAATGGGAAAAAAATCTTTTCAATTTAAAATGATTAGTGCCTTTGTGTGTGTTATTCTGTCGGACACACGGATAAAGATCAGAATCTGTAAAAGATTTGCAATTTGACTCAAATGTTTTATTTAATATTAACTTGGTCCATACAATTTCATTAAATAAATAATTAAATTATCCACATACCTAAGTACTATAGGAGTAGTTAAAAAAAGAGCACAGCACATTAACTAAAATTGTATCAATGTCAACAAGGCACTCGAACCTTGAGATATATTTTATCTGACATTTTGAAATCATTGAGACCAAACTAATGCTAATTAAAACACCAAACGGGTTGAGACTATGAGTAATAAAAGTTTCATTTTCCCAAATATGTGGGTGTGTGTGTGTGGAGCTAAATGACGTAATTTTACGTGTTAATTTGCATCCCAAATATGTATATGTGTGTATGTGAAGCTAAATGACGTAATTTTGCGTGTGAATTTGCATAATCCATTCACAATCTTTTTTTGATTTGAAGTCTTCATTGCTAACCATATATTAATATCACCCTTGTTAGGCAACAATCAATTCAATATTTGTTAATAAACAATTAATCTAAAAGCTAAATTGAGCGGAAAAAACGCTCAACATATAAGGACGGTCGTAAATAATTTCATTTTGATCAAATAACACTCCATTTGTAATTAACATTATCAAAACAGAACAAATCATATGCACAGAAGTTAAAGAGAGTATACCTCTGAAGTCGGCAAATTCACCATGTCATAATCATCGAAAGATTTAATGCTACAATTGCACAGCTCAACATTCTGAAGAGATGCCAGATCCATCTTATAATTCTTAGCACAAATGCTTTTGATCTTTGGCGCATCTTCAATGTAAAGGGTCGCCAAAGCAGGGAGGTCGAAATGCAGCTCTTCCTTTTGCTGATCTTGCTGGTACTTCCCAACAACATATTTTAGTTCAGGAACTTTCCTAATTGTCAAGGACTTCAATTTTTGAAGACCACCAGATATTGATGATCGAAATACAAATTCCAACTCCCTGCAAAACTTGATTTCCAGCTTCTCTAGTGTTGGGAAAATGGAACAATAATTCTTATTATCAACTTGAGCATCTCCCTCATGTGTTGTGATGCACTTCAGTTTATGACATCCGCAGATTTTCAAAGACTTCAATTTTTGAAGACCACCAGATATTGCTGATTGAAATAAAAATTTCAACTCCTCGCAATTCCAAATTTCCAGATTCTCTAGTGTTGGGAAAATGGAACAATAATTCTTATTATCAACTTGAGCATATCCCTCATGTGTTGTGATGCACTTCAGTTTATGACATTCCCTGATTGACAAACTTTCCAACGAAATTGTTGAGGCCGCAATGGATAAAGTTGACAGTGATAATATGTTCCCACATTTCCGTAGTATTATTTTCCTTACATTCCTCAATGATTGCACCAAAAGGCTTTGAGATACAAGGAAAGGAGGAACTCCTTCTGTGGATGCATCTAATTCCTACAAACACAAATCAATGCATAATAAATCAAAAAAATAAATCATTCTTATTCCAGAACAAACAATATATAAAATTTAAATATACATTAATACATAATAAGATTTGAGATGCATGGAAAGGAGGAACTCCATCTGTAGATGAATTTAATTCCTACAAACACAAATCTTTAAAAAGTTATATCTACCACCAACAGAATAAATCACTCTTATTTTAAAATAAACGATATGCAAAATTGGAATATATAATAATGCATAATAAATCAATGATATTTTTTTTGCTCAAAAAAATCAAAGATATTTTTAACAACAACAATTAGTAAAATAAATTATTCTTATTCCAAAACAAACAATCAGCGAAGATTTATTGGGAAAAAACAATCAGTGAAAATTTGAGTATGTAAATTTTTTATGTAGTCATATCATATACGACAAATAATATCAAAGAAAACAAAAACTTAATTCAACTCTTTATGAGCTGCCTTACACCCCATTCCATTTGATAACTTGTTAATAAAAATCACATAAAATGCTTATAATGGGGAAAAAAATCTTTTCAATTTAAAATGATTATTGCCTGTGTTTGTCTTATTGCGTCCGACATATATAGATAAAGATTGGAATCTGTAAAAGATTTGCAATTCGACCCATATGTTTTATTTAATATTAAGGTGGTCCATGTGTATAATAAAAAAAGGTGGTCCATACAGTTTCATTGAATAAATAATTAAATTATCATCATACGTAAGTAGTAGTAGTTAATAACAGAACACAGCATATTAAGTGAAATTATGTTACGTTGATGTCAATAAGGCACTCAAAGCTTGAGATATATTTCATCTGACATTTTGAAATCATTAAGACCAAATTAATGCTACTTAAGACATCAAACTAGTTGAAACTTTGAGTAATAAAAATTTCATTTCCTAAATATATATGGAGCTAAATGACATAATTTTACGTGTTAAGTTGCATAATCAATTCATAACCTTTTTTCATTCGAAGTCTTTATTGGTAACCATATATTAATATCACCCTTGTTAGGCAACAATTAATTCAATACTTGTTAATAAACAATTAATCTAAAAGCTTAATTGAGCGGGGGAAAAAACGCTCAACATATAAAGACGATCATAAATAATTTCTTTTTGATCAAATAACACTCCATTTGTAATTAACATTATCAAAACAGAACAAATCATATGCACAGAAGTTAAAGAGAGTATACCTCTGAAGTCGGCAAATTCACCATGTCATAATCATCGAAAGATTTAATGCTACAATTGCACAGCTCAACATTCTGAAGAGATGCCAGATCCATCTTATAATTCTTAGCACAAATGCTTTTGATCTTTGGCGCATCTTCAATGTAAAGGGTCGCCAAAGCAGGGAGGTCGAAATGCAGCTCTTCATTTTGCTGATCTTGCTGGTGCTTCCCAACAACATATTTTAGTTCAGGAACTTTCCTAATTGTCAAGGACTTCAATTTTTGAAGACCACCAGATATTGATGATCGAAATACAAATTCCAACTCCCTGCAAAACTTGATTTCCAGCTTCTCTAGTGTTGGGAAAATGGAACAATAATTCTTATTATCAACTTGAGCATCTCCCTCATGTGTTGTGATGCACTTCAGTTTATGACATCCGCAGATTTTCAAAGACTTCAATTTTTGAAGACCACCAGATATTGCTGATTGAAATACAAATTCCAACTCCTCGCAATTCCAAATTTCCAGATTCTCTAGTGTTGGGAAAATGGAACAATAATTCTTATTATCAACTTGAGCATCTCCCTCATGTGTTGTGATGCACTTCAGTTTAGGACATCCCCAGATTTTCAAAGACTTCAATTTTTGAAGACCACCAGATATTGCTGATTGAAATAAAAATTCCAACTCCTTGCAATACTCAATTTCCAGATTCTCTAGTGTTGGAAAAATGGAACAATAATTCTTATTATCAACTTGAGCATATCCCTCGTGTGTTGTGATGCACTTCAGTTTATGACATCGCCTGATTGACAAACTTTCCAACGAAATTGTTGAGGCCGCAATGGATAAAGTTGACAGTGATAATATGTTCCCACATTCCCATAGTATTATTTCCCTTACATTCTTCAATGATTGCACCAAAAGGCTTTGAACCGCGTGGCAAAGAAAAACTCCACATGTGGATGAATCTAATTCCTATAAACACAAATCTCGAGAAAGTTATATTTATCGCCAAGAAAATAAATCAATCTTATTCCGAACAAACAATATATAAAATTTACATATACATTACTACATATAAATAAAAATATTTTATACAAAACATCAATCGCTAAAATAAATCACTCTTATTGCAAAAGGAAACAATCAATAAAATTTAAAGACGCAATAATTTTTATGCTGTAATATACGACAGATAATATCACAGCGTAACAATGAATCAAAATAATAATATCGTTTCATTTCTTTTTCAAATATACTGTTATACAAAACTAGACGACCGCTTGATTTGTTTATTACCGCATTCTGCACTCTCTTGACAAAATTTTGAGTAAAATGCTTCAAACACAATAAAACTGTTTAATTTAAAATGTTTATTGTCGGTGTGGTATTCAAATTCAACTGTCCAAACAAACATTGGAATCCGTAAAATATTTGAAATAAATCATTCTTATTCCAAAACAAACAATGCATAAAATTTAAATATAGTACATACATAGTGAATCAAATCAAAATATTTTTAACATGAAAAATAATAAATAAAATAAATTATTCTTATTCCAGTATAAATAATCAGTAAAGTATGTTCAATTTGATCCATTTGTCGTAACTAATATTAATTTGGTCCATACAGTTCCATTAAATAAATAATTAAATTATTCTATTATGTAAGTCAAATAATTAAACAGTTAAAAAAATCTCTCCTCTCGTGAGAGAGAATTCTCTCCTCCTGTGAGCGCACAAACGGCCCCTTTGGTGAGCGACTTCCATCGGCGTCCTCTCCTCGGCAGCGGCCAGGGGAGAGTGAGTCCAGTGTGTGTGCGTTGGTGTGTTCGTGAGTTAGAGATTCTGCAAGATCTGAAGATGAGGGCAAGTTCTGAAGTTTTGCTGGTTAGGGATTTGAAGGTGGGAGATCAGTGGGCAGCACGATTAAGAGCCTCAACAAGAATGGCGAAGAGGAAAACGGAATGGCCGAGTGCACGCTGGGAATCAATGGGAATAGCACCAGAGATGGTGAAATCTGAAAGCTATTTTTCTCAGAGGAGAATGGGTGAAGGAGAGTTCTATGTGTTGCGAGCAAATCAGTTGTTTCTTCAAAATAGATATATGAGCGAGGGATCGATGATTCTCAATTTAAGCTAATCTCGCATTGTCGCCTTGATATAAGTCTATTTCGCGGGATTCTTTTGCCTTGGCCTTGTGAGGTAACAAAATCTGTTACTCTTTCTTCGAATAGCCTCTTTGTAAAGTCCTTTTGTTCGTAGGGTTTGATTGCTGGTTATGACGTATGTGTCGTGCTGGTTGGTCTAATTTATGCTTCTCGGTGGTTTTGGAATATGAGAAAAACCTTGGTTTCTGTTCAAAATGATTGTTGCTGCTGGTTTAAACCATTGGTTTTATCTGAGATAGTGCTTGCCATAGTTTTTTCAAAGGTGATAGGGGGCTTTAGTTTGTTGTCCTTTCAAGACAAGGATATGTTGGAGGAAGAAGCCGTTAGCTTGGGATTTATTGGCAGTTCATTTGTTTACTTTGCTGCAATCTTTACTGAAGGGAAGGTCCAGAAGTTTAGTTTCTATGTGGCAATCAAAAGGGATTCACCAAAAATTAAGGATGATTTAAGATGGGTGCCGCCTGGATGTCCTTAGTCTGTTTTTGATTTTAAGAATTTAGTGTTAGTAGTTGCTGGGATTGATGCTTCTGGTTTGAGAGGGAGATTTGCTTCTGCTGTGGCTTTGAAGATTGGTCACTGGTTGACTGGAAATCTAGAGGAAAAAAGCTTCTGATTCTCTCTGTTGATTTTGCTCAGCTTGGCTGTGATTGGTGGAGCTTCTTCCATGAGAGCATTTTCCCTGTGGAATTTGTCGCCGTCTGTTGCAACTTAGCTTCTTTGGATGAGCTAAGGAGTTTTGTAATGGGTTTGTGGCCTCTATGGTTGGGTTTTATGCCCCCCAATCCCAGTAATTTCTTCTTTTGTTTGTTCGTTCCTCCTCTAGATGGATTGTTAACTGGTGCTCTTCTTGGCTTGCCTGGTTTTGTGTTTGTTTTGGTGTGCAGCTTCAAGTACATTAAGGGAGTGTGTTCTTGGATGGATTTTTCATCATCTCCCCTTCTCTCTCACGGTTTGTTCTCGGCTGCTGCTATAGGAGTGAACCAGATCTGTTTGTTCTCTGCTACTGCTATGGGAGTGAACCAGTTCAGTGTTGTCTTTGGATGTTTTTCGCGTTCTTGTTTATGCTTTTTCATAGTTTTTTGGGTTTCTGTTGTTTTCTCTGCCTTTAAACTTTGAGTGGTTCTGTTTTGTTTTTGTGATTTTACACTTCTGATCAAAAAGAAAAAGTCAGATAATTAAACATAAAAGTAAATTATTTCAAAATGTTAAATAAATTGAATGCGGTGTTATAATTATTAATATTAGCATGAGAAGTAGTAGTTAACGAAAGATCATAGCCCATTTAGGTGGAACTTCATTGATCCATAGATGTCAGTAAGGTACTCGAACCTTGAAAGATATTTCATTTGACATTTTGAAATCGTTAAGATCAAATTAATGGTAATTAAAACATCAAATTAATTGAAACTTTGACAACTAAAATTTTCAAATTTTTTTTTCAAATGAATATGGTGCCAAATAACGTTTTGGGATAATTAATATATAAGTCCTTATAGTTTCAAATGGTTTTTAATCAGGTCTCTATAATTTTTTTTCTTTTTATCAGATCCTTATACTTTCATATATTTTTAATCAAGTCCTTATAATTTTTTTTCTTTTTATCAGGTCCTTATTGTTTTACTTTGTTTTTAATTAGGTCCTTGTAGTTTTTATTCTTTATTTTACAAATAATAACATTTTAAAAATAATAAATTATTGTAACAATCTTATGTTAATATTTTTTTAAATTTTTAGTTAAACAAATATATTATTTATTTTCAATTCGAATTTTTATAATTATAAAATTCAAATTATAATAATAAATTTATCTAAAATTAAAATATGATTATAAATAATTTATATTTAAGTATAATTATTATTCTGATTATTTATTAATTACTAAATGATTATATTAATTATTTTGTCCAATTATATAATTATTAATTTAAAAATGAAATTAATTTTAAAGAATAATGTTAATAAATAATTTTTCAAAAACTACAAAGCACCTAATTAAAAAATAAGTGAAACTATAAGGACCTGATAAAAAGAAAAAAAATAGAAGGACCTAATTAAAAACACACGAAAGTAAAAGGATCTGATAAAAAGAAAAAATTTTATAAGGACCTAATTAAAAATCAGATGAAACTATAAGGACCTGGAGATTAATTATCCCTAACGTTTTTATGCACTATTTTAAATAATTGATTCATAATGTTGCTAGTTATCCTGATAGTTTTAGGAAAAGTTGTTATAATAAATTTCATAGGTTAATTCGAACACTCATGTAATTTTATTCTACATCTTTTTATTTTGTTCAAAGTCGTTTTTGGTAACAAATGTTAATATCAACCCTAAAAATTTAGCACTTCACTTTTGAATAGTATATCACAACATGGATCACAATAGATATTTAATACCACAATAGTAAACCATTTATTTAAGAGAGATATTTGAACAAAAATAGTGAGGCAAGTGTAGCATACCTGTGGGACTGTGTGGTCATGCGGTCTTTGTTCAGGAACAGTAATTTTGGTATCTTCACTGGCGGGTCTCAATTTATTGAGAGAACAACATGCTTGAACCCAGGAGAAAGCACGTCTGGCAGGACTTTGATTCATGTTGCTGGAACAATTATGTCTTGAATGTGGAGATGATGGCTTCTGCATTGATGAACTCACGAGTTGGTCATGTTCTTTGCACATTCCAATGAAACTTGGTACTCCAGAAAGTTCCAGCTCTTCCAGTGAGGGGAGCATAGCATCTTCGCCCTCTTCAAACTTATCAAACATGTATTCCAGCTGCTCACATTGATATATACTCAACATTTCCAAAGATGCAAGACCTCCAGCGAATAGGATTGGCAATATTCTTCTTAACTTGCTGCACCATCCAATTCGAAGTTTTTTCAATTTTGGGAACAATGAGTCATGGTAACTCTTTAGGTTACTATCACTGTCTTCACTCACCATAATGCATTCCAATGCACTACAGTTGCTAATTGTTAATTTTTCCAGCCTCATCAGACTTCGTGCAGTGGATGGTTGGAAAACTGACGCTAACATTGGACAATGTTCCAGTTTCATGGACTTAAGATGACATAAGTTGTAGTTGCCATTAGATAATATGCTCTTCAGTCTATGGCACTGATTCAACTTCATAATCCCTAATTGCTCCCAAACGCCAGACGGTAGAGGACCATGACATAAATCTTCAACTTCTACATTAGAGAGATGTAATCCAAACAAATTACAAAAACCAGCCACACCAGAATCATGATCTTTAGTATCTATGGGGAACTCCACATAAGGACATGAACTCAAATGAAGAACAATCAAATCATTCATCATGCCTCGATCATCTGTTGCAACAATATCATCAAGGATAGAATTTTTCCATATTCTTGGCGCATCCTTTCCTTCCAAGATAAGAAGTTCAGCTCCTTTGACAAGTTGCTTAAATGTTGCCTCTGAGACCAAATGACTTAATCGATCATCTATTGAACACATCTTGACATGGAATCATACTTCTCAAAATAACTTGAAAGGTCCTCAGAAGATATACAATATCTGTGTAATGTAAGAGGAGATCCATTTTCAGAAATTGCATTGTTTTCTTCATTGTCACACCTATTAGCAACAAAAGTTAACTCTTCTAACTGGGTACATCTTTCAATCACTTTAAAAGGATTGTTCTTCTCGATTTTACATCTTTCAACCTCTAACGATCCCAACTTCTTTAGTTTCAAAAATTCTCTTGGTAACTCAATGATTGAACAATTCAAAAACTGAAGAGTATTGAGACTCAACAAGTTTCCTAAGGCACGGATGTCACCTAACTTCAAACTTTGCAGGATAAGCGTTCGAATATCCTTCAATGGTTCAAGCGAATTCATCAATGATAGAGCTGGAACTCTGGCGACATTAATTAAAAGCAAAACTTTGAGGCTCGTCATCCCTTTAAAGACTGTATCCAAGACATTCAAATCCTCTAACTCATCTAGAAATAGTAACAGAACCTCCAATTTATTTCCATCAAATTCATCAGGAAAATAATCAATCCTCCAAGATAGATATCTCAAGTTTCTTCTTATAGGTGTTTCCACAAGAAACTGAATATCATTTTCTCCTATCCATAAGGCTACTTCGCGAACCAAATCATGCATCCTTACACATCCTTCCTTACCATTCAATAATAAAGAAGAAGATATGAGTTCCATTATAGCTCCATGCACTTCTATTGTCGTTAAATGGTAGTTGTCAATTTCATTAACAGAGCCTAATCCTATACCGATTTTGATTAAAACCTTTATAGGAATTTCAAAATCCTCGGGGAACAAAGAAGATATCAAAAAGAGCTTTCTGGCCTTTTGATTTTTCAAGTTATCATAGCTTAACTTCAGGCATTTATAAGCCTCTTCCAAATTTTGATCAACACCATGGTCTTCCAAGGTCTTCAAAGCATACTTCCAGAATGATCTGGGCTGATTTTTCAATGCTTTTGCTATTGCTAAAATTGCAATTGGTAACCCACCACAATGCTTCACAATTTTTTGTGGCATCCCCTTCAAACCACGAGAGGAACTATTATGAGTAGCATGTGTTTCAAAAAGATTCAATGCCTCTTCATCGGTCAACATCTGTAGTTTAATCTGTTGGCATCCCATTTCTGTACAAACTTCCAAATTACGGGTGGTTATCAATAACTTATAGCCCTTGTAGTGATGTTCAGATGGAATCCCCAAGTTTCCAGTCAAATCAAACTTTTTCCATACATCATCTAGTATTATCAGCAGCTTTTCGCCCATATTAGTGATTTTGGAACATATCCTATTTAAGAGGTCTTCTTCGTTCACTTCCTTTATTAAATCTATCAAACCTAAGCCTTTTGCAAGGTCTTCACGGATCTTTTTAAAATCAGGAGGCTGGGAGACAACAAGAAAGATGAACTTGTCAATCGATTTAGATTCTTTTAGTTTATGAGCCACTTCTTTTGCCATTGAAGTTTTGCCTACTCCCCCGATCCCTTGCAATCCAATCATATTATTGCAATTATCATCCTGTAATGCCTTCAATAGATCTTGGAGATTTGACTCTGCTCTTAAAAGGAATGAAATCTTCTGAAGAAAGGGATTTTATGTCTGGTACATTTGCTCGACAAGCTTCTATGGTGGAGTTACATCTTCCCAGTAGATATTCAATATGCCGAGTCTTCTTTGCTAACTCCTTGCCTCTTCGATACTGCCACCAGCAATCAGGACACTGGCCAAAAAGAAATCTCTTCTTTATTTTAGTGTCCGTATCGATGATACCATCTGCTTCATGTACCCATTGCTGTGCTTCAGACTTAAAACTGAAAACTCCTTTGCCTTTCTGAAACTTTTTTTTCACATCCTGATGCTTTGCTGCTAGTATTTTCCTTTTTTGATCAAAATTTTCAACATGACTGTTGAAACAACATAAATATTGACCTTCATTTTTTACTAAATTCACCAAACTTTGGGCTTCGTTATTTGCTATGCCAAGTAGGCAGCCCTCCATCTAACATGGATGCAAACTAGAGTCAGTCTATGACTATCATACTATTGGGATTTCAGTCATCAAATTAGTGTAACCCTAATAATTAAATCAGAAAGATGCTGTCCTATGCCTTAAGATCTTTAAAAATGCAAATTAAAAGTGCTGAAAAGTTGTAAATTAATTTGCAATACAATGAATATTATAATACTATTTTATTTTATTTTCTAGACTGCTTATGGCCACCATTACGGCTATTAAAATGGGTATTCATCCATCAAATCAATACACAACATTTTTTTTTTAAATTTCAAGATATATCTTTATCAGCAAAGTAATTCATTCTCCAGCGTTTAACAAATAACAAAGACTTTAGGACCCTTCTTAGTTATGGCAGAGTGAACATTTGAGCTAGTTGTGTATATCTTAGTAAACACTAAGTTAGCCTTTCACAAATAGTTCCAAAACCATCGATCTCAACTTTACCCTCCATATGGCTACCAATGGAAACTGCTGCTATTGAACGTTTTTAAAGAATCATTCGGTGATGGAAATGTTTAAAATCAATTCTCTTATTCTTCATCTCTGATTTGCCAAATAGCCTTTCTTCAGCATATTTTTTCCCGACTCCTTTAAAAAATGTAGACCAAGTCCAAAAGGCTTTATGTCCTTTTGTGACATTTTGCCAAAAGAAATTAATACAAAATAAATAATACGTATGACATTTAAAGTGATAATTAGTGAGATCTTTAATAATAAGGAAGGTTAGAAATTAAAAAACGAGAAGAAGAAAGAAAGTAAACCATCATGAAGATAGTTTAATCAAGGCTTTCACATAATTTACTTTAGATTAGGTAAACTAATTTTTAACTTGGCCACAAAATAGGATTATCTTGTATCTCTTTACCGTCTTAAAGTATTTTGTAATTTCCATCACTCTATAGTATTATGAAGTTTGAAATTTCATAAATTCATTCTGATAAAATGTGCATATTTTATGGCTAATTTGAAATATCCTCTTATCCTCTTATCTCTTTGTCACTTTTATTAGATAAGAATGAATTCAATATGATATTACAGTGCTTGCCCGTTCTTTAATTGGCTAACTTGTATGGCTCCATTTGATTCTCCATAGGACAAACATAGTCTACTACCATCAAAAGTACTCAATTGTGATCCTACCTTTGGTCCTCAGTCGTCTAATTTGAAAAGATTAATAAAGTTACTAAATTATTTAATTATAATATATGTTACATAATCTCTCTAAAATACTCATGTAGATCATCAGACTATATATTAATTTAAAAACTAGGCAAATTAGTTTGAAAAAATAATAAATATAAATAGCTTAAAGTAATTTAGCAACTTCTTTAATTTTTCCAAATTAATCAGCCAAGTCTTATATTAAAAACTGGAGGTGATAGTTTAACAAGTCAAGAGATTCAACATTTGCTAGTAGTTTAACTAGTCAGGTAATACTTCAAAACCTTTATTGTGATTTTTGAGCACTTTTATTGTGATTTTTAGAGCACTTTTATTGTGATTTTTAGAGCACTTTTGTTGCTGGAATATTATAATTTAAGTAAAATACCTTATGTCCTTTATTTTATTTATTGTTATGAGTTCCTAACATATATATATATATATAAATATTTTTATGCTTTTGGCATTCATCCCTAGACTTAGGTAAAACTTCAACCTGTAAAGAAGAAAACGTGATCATGGGTTTGCTCTAAAATGGAGAAATTCTACCGGATAAATTCTGAAGTGGAGAAATTCATCCCTAAATCGTAATGCTTCTATCCTAAGTGATAAAAAATTATGATTTAAAAATCATAAATATTCGAAATGAAATTGTTTTTAAAAATCTAAAACATATAAAATTGATGAGGTGGAAAACATTCTCAGTTTTCTTTTAGCAGAACAAATTAAAGCAATTGATGAAATCAAAAAATAAGAACATAGAGTTATGCACCCACAATTTAATAAGTTTCAGAATATTATATTTACTTTTTTTTTCTTGGTCAGGTACTTATTTTGGGGGGGAAAATTTCACCATACAATACCATATTTGTGCATGTATATGTAAGGAAAATAGTAATAAAAACATCAACACAACATAAAAATAATAGAAATTAAGGAAACTCAATGAAATAAAAATATATACTTACTTTTTTTTTCAGATTTCAGTGTCAAACCAAGAGAAAATGAAAGAGATTCTCAAACCAAAACACACGAATGCAAATCCTGTCAACCAAAAATATGTGAGCTTTAGTTACGAGAGAAATAATATTAATAAAAATGTATAATAAGCATGAGATTAAAGTGATCACCAATTAATTCATTCACATAATCACAAGCAAAATACATTTCTTTTTTTTTTTAAATGGCGTTGTTTAATAATGGGCAAAGAATTAGTACTTCGCAAAGTCTACACAAATATTCTTACTCTTTTTTTTTGGCTCTGGAGATTTCAACTAACAGAGAAGTCTCCTTTTTTTTCCCCCCTTGGAATGTTGAAGAAGAAAACGATTATTAAAGAGAAATAATGCGAGAACATAGTTAAGCAGAAGCACAACGCACATGTAAACTTCTGCAGTGAGAAAAGAATTGATATAATATCCACTATCAATTTAATCAAACTCTTCAACGAATATTCTTCTCATTTGGGAAGCACCCCCTGCGTGCCGCGGCCATCGCGACTATCATCATCATTAAAGTAAAATACTCTCATTATCCTTCCATTTTTTGTTAATTATTATTATTAACGTCTAAATTCTGAACTTTTGAAAAATATTATTTATTTAAATTAAAAATGTAAAGATGCAAATATGCACGTAAACTTATACCTGATGTGCACCAAAATACTATATATACTCCAAGAAGAAAAAAAAAAGATGGTCTTATGAAACACAAAACTTCGGAAAGAAAAAAATCACTATAAGTTCTAATAGTTTCCATGGTCCTTTATGAGGTTTTCTATGCTTTTCATCCTTGGCTTTTCTTCTTTCTTCCTTTACTATTACTTTGTTATGCATACTCCAAAACAATATAGTATAATCGTTTGTAATAAAGGTCATAATCCAAATGCCAACAATTTGATTATAAAAATACTATGGGAAAATTAGAAAGAGTGACCTAAAAAATTATATTTATCAGGAAGGAACTTAAAAAGTGTTATTACGAGGACCAAATATCAAAACATAAATTTAAGAATATTAAAATGCCCCCCAACTGAATTAAATCTCGTGCATTTTCTCTTATCACTACCTTCACAACTGATTATGGATCCCTTTTTTGTCAAAGAAATTTTTTTACGCTACTATTTTACTCTTATACCCATATTTGATATTTCTACGGATATCAATTTCAGGTGTAAGAACAATAAATATTGTTCAAATCAAATACATTTGACCTTACATTTGATTCAAATTTTGAAGCTATAATCTCCCCCATCTATGCTTAATTGATTGTAAACAAAAAAAAATTGCAAACCAAATGAATGCATTCAAACTAAGCAAACTAAATGATTGCATGTGCGGAGTTTAAAAATTGAATTGACAAAAAAAAAACCCCAACATAGCGAAAACAAAAAACTGTGGAACGTGAAGTGAGGCAGGACGGGGAAGAGAGATGCGGCAGTTGGAGTTATTGAAGACTTAACAATTAAATTAAATTAATTATTTAAATTTGAAAATTAAAATTAGTGGTTAGAGAAAAGATAGGAGATTCAGTTAGAGATACTTTAATGTTTATAAATTTATATTTTGATATTTGGTCTCCTAAAGAATTACACTTTTAAGATCCTCTCCAATAAATATTAATTCCTCCAGGTCCTTCTCTCTAATTTTTCTAAATACAATTAACATATATGTGTGTGTAAATAAATAGCAGCATAAATATACAAACAACATATAAATAATAAAAAACCACAATGACTATATCCTTACCCTTTTTCAAAGAAACTTTGGTGCGTTCTCAGAGAAACCAGGTGACAATAAAAGAAATTCTCAAGCCAGAATGCAAGAGCACAAACTCTGTCCACGAAAACAAGAGAAAGAACTAGTTATAAGAAAAAGAATATAAATAGAAAAATATATAATAAGTGTGAGATTAAAGGGATCAACCATGTTTAAAAAAAAAAAGTGATCAACGATAAATTCATTTGCACAGTAAGGAATATGCATTTCCATAGCAATAAAGAGAATACTAAATAGAACGGTCATGTGAAAAAAAAAAAAAAGAATTGCATGCAGATTTCAATATATAGCAAAAAAGGAAACAAGACCTATTTGATGGATTGTGCTTGTAATGAGCAACGATTATGAACCCATTTTCTGAACCTAAATCCATATATTGATCTATGCATGAGAGGTTTCGTCTGGGGTTCTACTCTAATTTCATTACTTAATTTCCTCCTCTATTTTCGTGCTATTTAATCTGCTACTGATTGGAGGTGGTTAAGCTTCATGATTTTGGTTTT